CAGACCCTGGGGCCCCACGAAGGGACTTTGCGGCCCCCACATCTGAAGTGGGACCCCCATCCTTTGAATGGCTGCTCGGGCGGCTGGGGGCAGGGGGTCGGCGTCAGCGTCTCCTCCTGGCCCTGAGTTGCCTGCCCTGCCTTCTTCTGGGACTCGGGGATGGCTCTGATGCCCTCTTCACCCTCACACCTCCACGGCACTGTCGGGACCCCAATGGCACCAGGCTGCCTGAGAACACAACCTGCCAGGATGCCCACTGTCAAAATTGGGAATATGGAGGACTCCCAGCTCTCACCAGCAATCCAGTCACAGAGGTGAGACATCACAATGCTTCCCCCACCCCCGCCCCGAGCTTACTTTTTTGGACTACAAATCCCAGAACCCCCACATTAGACAGGCCACTTGCCATGCTGGCAATGCTGGAAGGTGGTCCAAAAAAGTACCTTTCTAAATTCTGCTTTTTCTCTGCTTAGTTCCGTAGAGTTAGTTTCCCAGTGGTCATGCTGGCAGAGCACCTAAATATCCTAAAGGCCATCTGATCTTCAGAGCTAAGCACAATCAGCCCAAGTGATTCCTTGGAGTGGACATCAACAACAAATACCATGTGCTGTAGGCTGTATTTCAGAGGAAGGAACTGGCAAAACCACCTCTGAGAAGTCCTTGCCTGAGAAAACCCTCTGAAATTCATGGGGTTGCCATAACTCAACAGGTGACTTGAAGGCACACATACACAAACACATGCTGGCAGGCAGTTTTGTAGGAATTGTTGTGTTGTTGTGTTGTTGTATGCCTTCAAGGCAACCTTATGATCGGATTTTCTTGGCACATTTCTTCAGAGGGTGTTTTCCATTTCCATTCTCTTAGGCTGAGAGAGTGTGATGTTCCCCAGGTCACCCAGTAGGTTTCTAAATTGTACTCCAAAAAAAGATGCTTTTTTTTCCAATCTCTGCTTTTCCTCTGGTCTGCTCCACAGAGTTAGTGTATCTTAATGGATAAAATGTCATGCTTGGACCGAAAATGTCCAGGGTTTAGATTTGTAAAGTACTGTAGGTGTCTTTGGGCCCACCACTAGCTCTTTGGTAGGCTTATCTAATAAAATTTGCTGTTAGAATTAAATTGGTGAAGCAGAAAGAACCATATGTTCTCCTTTTGAATTCTTTGAAGGAAGAGCAAGGTAAATGTTTGTTTTTAAAAAAATGGCACACCTGGGCTCCCTTGCTCCTAGGCCTCCACTGTTACATTCTTTCACTCCTACAAGGAGTGTTTAATTTTAAACACACACCAAACTGGTTTTTAGTGCTGGCCTCAGCTGTAGATCACATGAAATAGTCATTAGGACAGAGGAGGGCCCTAGCCATGTGCAAAGTACTCAAGAGGAATTCTAGGCCTGCTTGAAGTTCCTTCTCTTCTTTGCAATGAGCTGTAACTGCTGAACCCTGTTGCTTGAAAACAGTGTGATGCAGCAGCTAAAAAGGCCAATGCGATTTTAGGCTACATCAATAGAAGTATAGTATCTAGATCAAGGAAGTAATAGTGCCACTGTATTCTGCTTTGGTCAGGCCCCACCTGGAATACTGTGTCCAGTTCTGGGCACCACAATTCAAAAAGGATGTTTAAAAACAAGTGTGTCCATGTGCGGGGGGTTGTGCGTGTCAGTGGAGGGTGCGCACGTGAGCGCGCACACCGCCATTTCCCCCCTCCTCAGCCCAGCCGAGACCTGGACTACAGGAGACCGGCCCAGGACTCAAAAAGGTTGCCTACCCCTGCACTAGAGTATATATAGAATACATTTGTCCCCATGCCCACTGGGTAACCACCGGCCAATTCTGCAACCCAGGATTAGAATGCTCACTTTTTTAGAATTTCAGCCCCACTCCTTCCATCTGTTCTACCCGCTTCTAATCTTGTTTTTCTTTAGTGGTCCTTGGATTGTTCTCGAGCATGGGTTGTCCCCTTGGAGCAGCTTTGTTTTCTCCTGGGATTTGCTGCTGGGGCCCTTTTTCTGGGTCACTTAGCAGACAGGTAAGACTGTGTTGCAGCATTGTTGGGATTGGCAGGATTGGGAAAGAAAGAAGAAAATATTACCAAGGTGTAAAGCTAGTTTTCCAGAACGTGAGGTACATCTGCAATGCAGAAATAATGCAGTTTGACACTACTTTAACCGCCATAGCTCCATCCTACAGAATCCTAGGATTTTTAGTTTTGTGAAGCACCTGCACTCTTTGGCACAGAAGGCTAAGGACCTTGTAAATCTACAAATCCCAGGATTTCATAGGATGGAGCTACAGCACTTAAAATGGTGTCAGACTGCATTATTTCTCCAGTATACAGAGCAGAAAGGCGTTGTTGTGTGTCTTCAAGTTGTTTCTTACTTATGGCAACCCTAAGGAGAGTCTATAATGAGGTTTTCTTGACAAAATCTGTTCAGAGAGGGTTTGCTTTTGCCTTCCTCTGAAGCTGAGAGAATGTGACTTGCTCAAGGTCACCCAATGGGTTTTCATGGCTGAGCAGGGATTCAAACCCTAGTCTCCTAATATCCTAGTCCAGTATGGAAACCACTACATCACACTGGTTCTCCAGAAAGGTATAAGTGTTGCATAATCCCAACACTGGTCATGAAAATGCCAAATTCATTGTATTCCTTTATTTACCAAAACAAATCCCAAAAAAACGTCACCCAAAAATAAAAACACAGATCCAGCATGGTACAGTGGTTTCAGTGTTGAATTATGGCTCTGAAGAGCAGGGCTCAAATCTCGACTTGGCCATGAAAACCCACTGGGCAAGTCACAGTCTCTCAGCCTGAGATAGTGACTATGGCAACTCCCCTCTGAAGAAACGTGCCAGAAAACCCTATGATAGGTTCACATTAGAGTCCTCATAAATCAAAAATGACTTGAAGGCAAACAGCACCCACATTTGTATTTACACAGAAATAAGTCTCTGGCAGGTTAAGTGGGTTTAAGATTTCAGCTAACATTGTAACAGGATCTCTCATAGCTTCATAGGCATCACTAAAGTGGTGTGGGGGTTGGGGTGGCACCCTAGAAGGGAGTATACCCCCCCAGTGGAGTGGTAACCCAATAATAATAATAATAATAATAATAATAATAATAATAATAATAATAATAATAATATAAAATTTATTTATACCCGCCCCTCTGAGCACAATCGGGGCAGTCTGATAGGACTGGTATGGCTGCTGGGTGAACAAGAAAGGGCATCACCTCCCTTTCTCGCTCTGGCATGATTGCTGGGCGAGCCACTGCACCAGACCATAAATGGGCCATCCAGAGTCTGGCAGGACAGCAGGCCAGGGGACAGGCAAGTGAAGCAGTGGGAGAGAGGGGCAGTCCGTGCCCTCCTCGTAGCCCTTCTGGGCACTCACACCAGGTGACCCCAACCTGAGTGACACCACTGGGTAACATTGCAGGAAATCAGAATTTAGAAAACAAAGTTGGAACCTTGGCAACAAAATTTGAATGAGAATTTGTAAGCACATTCTTTCTCCCAAATTTGTTTCAACTAGTTCCCTTGCATTTCTCATTCTTTCAGTGAGGGCAGATCAGAAGTTAAAACATGCTAAAATTTTGTTTGAGCCTTTGTGGCATAGTGGTGTGAGTGTTGGACTACCCCTCTGGAGACCAGGATTCAATTCCTGCTCAGCCATGAAATTCATGGGTGACCTTGGGCAAGTCACATGCTCTCGGAGAAGGCAATGGCAAACCTCCTCTGAACAAATCTTGCCAAGAAAACACCATGATAAGTTCACCTTGGGTGTGCCATAAGTCACAAACGACTTGAAGGTGCACAACACACAAACACACACAAAGATTTTGTTTAGCTGAAGTGACCAGCTTCCTTGCCTTAATCATCAGGCTTGCCTCTTCTGCAGGAAAAAACGTGAGACATTTATGAAGGGACAGGAGTAGGAAAAAATCAAGCATTTCAGAATAGAAAAGAAAGAAGGATGGTGGAGTAACTTCTTGTGTCTCTTGTCTGCAGTGTGGGACGGCGGAGCACTCTTCTCCTGGCGCTTGCCCTCGGCTGCCCTGCAGGCATCTTGGCTGCATTTGGTGCCTCGCCCTCTGTGTTCATGTTGGGTCGTTGCCTCTGGGGGGCAATGTTGGGGGGCATGCAGCTTGCCCTCTACCTTAGCCGTGAGTATTCCTTTGAAGATGTCTTACTCTGACCTCATGCTTCCTTTATGTTTTTCCTGGGGTTGCAGATTTGAATTGATCGGTTCAGACCAGTCATCAGCTGCAGTCAGTGGCATCACTAGGGTTGGTGTCACCCGAGTGCGGTAACTCATGTTGTCACTGCCAGGCTCAGAGCCACCAGGCCAATGGTCCCTCAGGAGTAGATCAGGCGCTATAGGACAAAAAGGCTTTTGTCTACTTGCCTCCGACGACTGGTGAACTGGGGCACCCAAGGGGACTCAGTGCCCTGGAGTGTTCTGGTCTAACTATCTAGTTCGCAAGTTCCAAATGGGTCCAGGTATGATTCAGTGAGGGTTAGGCCTCCAGGAGTTTGCCATGGTATGCCAACAGAATTCCAGCCAGCCTCCTTGCTGCCTCTGGGCAGGTGGACCAGGCCCTTCAGTCTCTGGAAGTCCCAGTCTACCTGCAAAGAAGTGTGGTAGTCCACTCCATATCAGAAGGCAGACGACCCCCTTCTGAGGTGTCACCCAGTGTGGTGTGGTCTGCACCTTCCTAGAAATGCCCCTGGCTGCAGTCATGACTGAAAACCCATTTAAACCCTTCAGTTTATTTGAGCGAACCCCTTTATAGATGCCTATTCCTAGTGAAATTAGGAATACCCTTTCTGTACCAGTGTCCTGGCTTGAGAATATCCACTGCTGAGTGTAGTAGCTGTGCAGCACCCAGATCTTAACAATTTTAGATGCTATGTAAAAGTGTAGGGTCTTTTTTGCTTAGACTTATTAATTCAGGATATGCCATTGGTACTGTTTTTCCAACTGGTGTTTTATTCTTCTGCTTTTGAACTCTTTATTGTTAAAATTACATTTGTATTTGGGAAGCCTGTCAGCTTCCTTGGAAATAGCGGAAGGAGTAAAAATGCAGATCTTGGAAGAGTTACTTTTCCAGACTATGTTCTCAGAATCCTAGCCAAGCATGGTCACGTGATCTTGCTGGCTGGGATATTCTGGAAGGCATAGTTCAGAAAATAACATTTCCAAACTGTGCAAACATAACAGAAGAAATGCTTACTTGGAAGTAAAGTCAACAGAAGTCAAAGAGGCTTCTTAACATGGTTAAGAAGGTTAACATGGTTAACATGGTCACGTGATCTTGCTGGCTGGGATATTCAGAAAATAACATTTCCAAACTGGCTGGAAGTAAAGTCAAAGAGGCTTCTTAACATGGTTATAAATATTCCATGCAGATTTGAAATTTCCTCCTCATCACATTTGTCTGTCTTTCCTATTACCCACCTGCCTGCTCTAGTCTTTCTGTCTCAATCATCAGTGTGGCTAGCCTCTTCTGCAGGAATGTGTGAGACAGTTATGAGGTTCTCACTGGGCAAATCTACACCTGCAAGAATATGCCAGGCTGCCCCCTTCTGGCTCCGAATTCCCCCTGAATTTGCCTGTTATCTGCTCTCTTCTTGCTGTAGGTTTTTGGCTTTCGCCACAAATGATGGGCAACTGTTTCCCATGTGGTTCTGTTCATTCCCCAGTGCTGCTACTGAGGTCAGAACAAGGTGCTGTCAATGCTGGGTGGATCATTCTGACCTCAGAACGCCTTGCACCTGCCGTAGCAGCAGCAGGCAGCTTGCAGGGATCATAAGTGAAAAAGCAGACACAACTATCGCTGCAAAGAGAGCCAAAAATGTGGCAGCAAAAAATGAATTATTTAAATGCAGGTTAAGGGGAGGAAGTCCTGAATTGGGTGTGGGCATCATGAAGACAGACAGGATTCAATTTGGGGTTTTGGCCCCATGTCATATAAACAACACAGTGAGCCCGCTGTTTCCCTTCAGAAGAGGCAAGCTACATAGATGATCGAGACAGGAAGGGCATACAGACAACTCAAAACATGGAGGAAACATAAAGAGGACGGTCAGTTGAAGGCTTTCTTTTATCTCCCACCCCTACTTTATTTAAAAGGCTTGGAACTGTGTTGTCCTCCCCAGCGGCTGCCCGTGGCCATGGCAGGAGACCTTCTCATGGTTGGAGGCCATTTCTTACTTCTAGGGCTGGCATTGGCTTGTGGCAGCTGGCGGGTCCTACAGGGTGTGATGTCCTCTGGGCTCGGGCTTTGTCTGCTGTATGGGTAAGTTGGGGTTGGGTCCCTATAATCTCTTCAAACCCCCCCCCCCCCACTTTTATCAATCTTCCTCTTCCCATAATTCCATAATCTCTCCTGCCAAAACAACCCTAGCTGGGTTGTTGCTGTTTATGATGTTAACTACCTTCAAGTTGACCTCAACTCATGGTGTATCATGTAATTCATGAATGTGGGCAATATGTTAATTTTACAGAGAAATGCTTAACATGGGCAGCTTCCTCACTGCAGAAATAATCCAGTTTGGTTCCACTTTAACTGCCATGGTTAATACTGTGGAATCCTGGGAACTGTAGTTTGTCATGGCATCAGATCTCTCTGACAGAGAAGACCTAATGCAGAGGTAGGAAACCTTTCCCCTTTAAGGGCCGAGGGACTTCAGCTCCCAGAATCTCAGGAGCTATTGGCCAACATGGCTGAGGCTTCTGGGAGCTGAAGTCCCTCAGCCCTTAAAGGGGAAAGGTTGCCTACCCCTGGCCTAATGTCTCACAAAACTACAATTCCCAGAATGCCACAGCACAGAGCCATGACAGTTAAAGTGGTATCAAATTGGATTATTTCTGCAGTGCAGAGACAGTCTAGGTTAATTGAAATCAATACTTTTATTTGATGTTTAGGTAGAGAACAGACTTGTTGATATTTACTTCTTAATGGTCAACCCCACATGTCATGAATTTTGACTGTCCCTCATAGCTGTTTTGAAACCTGGCAACAGTCCTTGCCACCTATTCTTGACCTAGAGAAAATCTTAAGTACTCTAGTAGCTTTTCCTACTAAGTACTTAAGTACTCAAGATACTCTGTTTCTACACACACACACACACCCTCTACACCTTAAGGTGGTTATCCTTGGACAAAAGAAATTCAGGGATTTTAATCTGCTCATCAGTGTGATAATGTCTGTTTCACCACCTAGCTATTGTGTGTTAGTGGCCACCGTTAAGGTAATGATCACTGTCTGATGTCAGCAAAATGCAAAGAAGTACAAAGCCTGAAAGAAGCCCAAAGAACCCACAAAAAACCATGGATGCTGGCTCACAAAGAAGTACAGTTGTTCCTCCAGATTTGCTGACTTTCTTGTTGCAGTTTTGAATTTCCATGGACGAAAAGCCAGGAGGGACAAAATGACATGTGCATCCATGGCCACACAGCCATTAAAAAAAATGGGGCTGCAATATTTGCAGTTTTTCCAATTTGTGGGGGGATCTGGAACTGACCCCCCACGAATTGGAAGGGACGACTGTACAAAGTTTGTAATTCCCACCCTCCTAAGTTAAGTGTATAATATTCTGTCCAGTGAAGCAACATTTAAGGTGCCACAAGACTTTTGTTGCTTTTAAATAAAATTCAGAGAACTTTGTTTTTGAAAAGCGCTTAGTAGTGAAGCAGTTATTTTGTAATATAATTGTGAGTTTTATTCAGTGTGAAGATACATCACTCCAAAAAGGCCATCAGTAAGCAGAGAAGGAAACAGACTAACATTCTTTGGAAGGGTGTTCCACAGACTTGATGCCACAATCAACAAGTTCCCATCAAATGTGTCAGTCTCCTGTATTTTTGTCTATGGGAACACAGAGCAAGGCAGGATTGAATATCAACTTTAACTACTGCCTCACCCATTCATGTGGTGTAGTCGTTTCAATGTTGTACTACGACTCTGGAGAACAGGGTTCCGATCCCTACTCAAGCATGGAAACCCACTGGGTGACCTTGGGCAAGTCACACTCTTTCAGCCCCAGAGGAAGACCAAGGTAAGCCCTCTGAACAAATCTTTCAAAAAACACAAAAAACCCTGATATGCTTATCATAAATGAGGACTTGAAGACAAACAAAAACAACAAACCCACTCACCCAGCTGCTAGGACAAGAGTGAATATAAACCACAGTGGACCACTATGCATCACTTACTGCCTTCCTGTTGGGATTTTTATGAAGCAGAGCTAGGAAACATTTGGCTTTTGAGATGTTTTTGACTGTAGCTCCCACGACCCCTTGGTCACTGGCTAAACTGGCTGGGGGCTTTGACAATTGAAAGTCCAAAACATTTGAAGAGCCAAAAGTTCACCATCCATGTTAATATAAAATAAATAAATCCTGGACTAATAAGTGCAAATTAAATTTACAATGTATGGGTTCTTAAGCAAGAATGGATTGTCAGGATCGCTTGAGAACAAAAAATATTTATTTGGTATCCTGCCTTTCTCCCAAAATGGGACTCAAAGTGGCTCTTACAGTATACAAATTGTGCCTCATTTCTTAAGAGATCTGGGTGATATCATACCCATTACCATACTGTTGTTGTGTGTCTTCAAGTTGTTTGGACCTTAAGATGAACCTACTGTGGGGTTTTCTTGGCAAAGTT